AAAAGCGACAGCTCTGAGCCCCCAGCGGGGTCTCCCCCGAGGGCGAGGCGCGCCGGGGGCTCGGCGGGGCTTTGGGAGCGGCGTTTGAGCTCCGCTTCGCCTTCCAACACCAACAAATGGCTTTGTTTGCCTTCGCTCTGCCCGGGGAGTGTTTAAACCGGGGGCAGGTCACGGCGGTGGCGAGGAGAGGAGGGAACCCTCCCAAAGCCCCGAACACAATGAAAGGAATTAAGCGGCCCCCCCCAAAAAAAAGAAACCACCACCTACATCTCCCCTCCCCCGGCACCCAGCGCTCCCCGCGCCCATTAAAAAGGGGACCCGGCCGTCGCTCCCAGGACTCGCCTCCTGTTCGCCTCCCGTGGCCTCCAACCTTCCCACCTCGCCTCTGGCTGCGCGTATGCCCCCCCGTCATGCTCTCGCCAATCCTGCGCTCTGGGGAAGAGCTTCGGCTCCAAGCTTCTTGTCTGTGCTCGGGCCAGGACAAGGTCCGCCTTCGCGCTCGGGGTCGGGCCGGGCGTCCGGCTTCGCAGCAGGGAGCGTTTACAGCCTGGGGGGGGCAAAAGCACGCCCTGGGGGTCGGGGCCGCGGGCTCTGCAGGGCTTTGGGGCGGCGCCAGGGTTCGGGGCGGCTTCGGCTGCGGCCTTCCCCGGCGGCTTTGTGGTGGCTTCGGGGGGGCTTCGAGGCGGGGCTGGGGCCAAGGAGGGCTTCCCCCCTGCCCCCCCGCGCATCAGGGAGGTGACCATCAACAGAGCTCCTGGCCCCTCCTGAACCTGGAGATCGACCCCGAATTCCAGCGGGTGCGGCCCAGGAGAGGGAGAGATGAAGACGCTCAACGACAAGTTCGCCTCCTTCATCGACAAGGTGAGAATTTGGGGGGCGGGGGTTTTGTGGGTCCCGGCTCGAGGTGGCTCCATGGGGGTGGAATGGCTGGGAGGGGCTCATCCAGGGACACCCAGAGCCGGGAGCTGGCACCAAATCCTCCCAAAATTCCATGGGAATGGCCGGGAGAGGCTCATCCAGGGACAGCCCGAGCTGGGAACTCCAAAATCCCCCCAAAGTTCCATGGGAACAGCCCAGAGAGGCTCATCCAGAGCTGGGAACTGGCACCAAATCCCCCCAAAGTTCCACGGGAACATCTAGGAGGTGCTCATCCAGGGACACCCTGAGCCAGGAGCTGGCACCAAATCGTCCCAAAATTCCATGGGAAGGGCCAGGAGAGGCTCATCCAGAGCTGGGAGCTGACCCCAAATCCCCCCAAAATTCCATGGGAACAGCCTGGACAGGCTCATCTGGAACACCCCAAACTGGGAACTCCAAAATCCCCCCAAAGTTCCATGGGAACGACCAGGAGAGGCTCATCCAGAGCTGGGAGCTGGCACCAAATCCCCCCAAAATTCCATGGGAATGGCCGGGAGATGCTCATCCAGAGCCAGGAGCTGGCACCAAATCCCCTGAAATTCCATGGGAATGGCCTGGAGATACTCCTCCAGGGACATCCCGAGCTGGGAGCTGGCACCAAATCCTCCCAAAATTCCATGGGAATGGCCTGGAGAGGCTCATCCAGGGACAGCCCGAGCTGGGAACTCCAAAATCTCCCCAAAATTCCATGGGAACGACCAGGAGAGGCTCATCCAGAGCCGGGAGCTGGCACCAAATCATCCCAAAATTCCATGGGAACATCTAGGAGGTGCTCATCCAGGGGCACCCCAAGCTGGGAACTGGCACCAAATCCCTCCAAAATTCCATGGGAATGGCCTGGAGATGCTCCTCCAGGGACATCCTGAGCTGGGAGCTGGCCCCAAATCCTCCCAAAATTCCATGGGAATGGCCTGGACAGTCTCATCCAGGGACAGCCCGAGCTGGGAACTCCAAAATCCCCCCAAAATTCCATGGGAAGGGCTGGGAGAGGCTCATCCAGGGACACCCTGAGCTGGGAACTCCAAAATGCCCCCAAAGTTCCCTCGTGTTGGAGGCGTTTGGGGCTGGTTTTGAGGAGATGGGCGGGTTTGGGGGGGTTGGGGATGTTTTAAGGGGAAAGTGGGACTTTTCCGGGGATAAAATGTGATTTATTTGGGGGGGAAATGTGACTTTCCCCCTTGCCCATCCAGGTGCGATTCCTGGAGCAGCAGAACCGAGTCCTGGAGACCAAGTGGAAGCTGCTGCAGGAGCAGGGGGGGTCTGGCCCGGGGGGCAGGAGCCTGGAGCTCATCTTTGAGGCCTACGTCAGCTCGCTCCGCAGGCAGCTCGACTCCCTCTCCGCGGAGAAGCTCCAGCTGCAGACAGAGCTCAAGAGCTCCCAGGACGCGGTCGAGGAGTTCAAGACCAAGTAGGTGCTTCGGGGAGTGAAGAAACGGAGAGAAAACCCCAAACAGCCCCAAAACACTGAAATATCGATGATGATAATCGTTGATATTTCATTGATTTTTTTCCCGATGGGTAGAAAATGTCAAAGGTTTTGGGGGTGTCGGGCTCAGGGGATTTTTTTGAGGTGTTTCTCGATATTCCTTGAATTTCCTTGATGTTCCTCAAGTTTTCTCCCTGTTTCTCACATCTCCTCGAATTTTCTCAAGTCTTCTCAAATTTCCTCAAATTTCCTCTATATTTGTCAAATTTCCTCTCTGTTCCCCAAAGTTCCTTGATATTCCTCATATTTTCTCAATATTCCTTACATTTTCTCAGTATTCCTCAAATTTCCTCAAATTTTCTCAATATTCCTCAAATTTTCTCAATATTCTTTAAATTTCCTCAATATTCCTCAAGTTTCCTCAAATTTCCTCAATATTCCTCAAACTTCCTCAATATTCCTCAAATTTCCTTGATATTCATAATATTTTCTTAATATTCCTCAGCTTTCTCCATATTTCTCAAATTTCCTCAATTTCCTCAAATTTCCTCAAATTTCCTTGATATTCCTCATATTTTTTCAATGTTCCTTACATTTTTTCAATATTCCTCAAATTTCTTCTCTATTCCCCAAATTTCCTCAAATTTTCTCAATATTCTTCAAATTTTCTCAATATTCTTTAAATTTCCTCAATATTCCTCAAATTTCCTCAAATTTCCTCAATATTCCTCAAACTTCCTCAATATTCCTCAAATTTCCTTGATATTCCTAATATTTTCTCAATATTCCTCAAGTTTTCTCCATATTTCTCAAATTTCCTCAGATTTCCTCAAATTTCCTCAAATTTCCTTGATATTCCTCATATTTTCTCAATGTTCCTTATATTTTTTCAATATTCCTTACATTTTCTCACTATTCCTCAAATTTTCTCAATATTCTTTAAATTTCCTCAATATTCCTCAAATTTCCTCAATATTCCTCAGATTTCCTCAATATTCCTCAAATTTCCTCAATATTCCTCAATATTTCTTAAATTTCCTCAATATTCCTCACATTTTCTCAATATTCCTCATATTTTCTCACATCTCAATATTCCTCAAATTTCCTCTCTATTCCCCAAATTTCCTTGATATTCCTCATATTTTCTCAATATTCCTTACATTTTCTCAATATTCCTGAATTTTTCTCAATATTCTTTAAATCTCCTCAATATTCCTCAAATTTCCTCAATATTCCTCAAATTTCCTCGATATTCCTCAAATTTTTCTCAAATTTCCTCAATATTCCTCAAATTTCCTCAATATTCCTCGAATTTCCTTGATATTCCTCATATTTTCTCCATATTCCTAATATTTTCTCAATATTCCTCACATTTCCTCAATATTCCTCAATATTCCTCAAATTTCCTCAACATTCCTGACATTTCCTCGACATTCCTGACATTTCCTTGCTATTCCTCTAATTTCCTCCGTGCCCTGTTTGGATGCCGAGGGAGGATCCTCCACTCCTCGTCTCCCTCAATTAGGAACCCGTGACATTAACGATTTAACGACTTAATTAGTTGCTAAACCCAGCTCCAGTTTCCTCCTGGATTTCCTTCCCATAAAACCCTTCAGCATTCCAAGGTTTACTTGGGAAGGTCGAGGTGGCGTAAAAAACAGACAGGGAAAATAAAGGGGGTTCTTTTCCTACCATTATTTATTATAACCAATAAGTAAAATATAAATATAAATTATAGCTTGAATATTATGATAATATTATATATATTATGTTTTTACATTTGAGTATTTATACCTATTATATATAAATACAATTTATACAATTTATTTATATATAAATAATAATTGTATTTATACAATTAATACAATTAATGTAATTTATATATAAATGGTATA